GAAACCAAAATATGGCACCCGGAGGGTCCCCGGCCTAAGATTCCGGGTGCTTGTTGGCCGGGGGAGCCATGTTCAATGACTGCCCAGTACAGGGTTTCAACTTACTGACTCTCTGATTCTGTGACTGGGTAGATGGGGTAGAACTAGAACTCTGAAGAAGCAACCGGGCCATTGTCCCACCCAGAAACCATACCTGTCCCTAACCATGGCAACCCCTGGTCACTTCATGGCTTGGGTTACCCTGGGCACAGCCCCATGTACCCAGGATTTCCTCAGATTACCACAGCCATGGGCTGGGTGATGCTCTGTCCCTGACTGTCTGCCTTGAGCGTGCCCAGTCCAGCTAGCCCGCCCCTAAGAGCCCGAGGGACAGCACCCCAGGGCCACAGATCAGCTCTGGACGCCCCCAATTGGGGGAGGACCCTCAGAGGACACCTAGCACCCCCTGGGTCCCACAGGGAGCAAGTGGCAGGGTGGGTGGGAATTCAGGGCTCCCTGATGCTAAATAGCGGCTGGAGGCCAGAGTCCAAGTCTTGGCCTTTGGGGAGTCCCTGCTCCTCTCTGGTCCCAGCCTTTCCTTTGACATGATGGGGAGACTTTCTGGGTGAGCACCTCTGTGACTCTGGGAGGGTGCGTGTGCCGGGGATGTGTCTTGGTCTCCATGGCCTGCTGAGAGGCTCCAGGGCTGGAAGACCTGAGAGCTTCCTGGAGGAGGTGGACCCATTCCTGTGACATCTCCTGGAGTGTGTCTCTGGTTCCAGAGAGGTTCCCAGAACTCTGCGTGGGGACTTGGGGGCCCTAAGGACCACGTGTGCTGTGTCCTTGGCTTGGGAATAGTCCTTATCTCTTCCCCTCTCTATGGCCCCAACGGCAGGTTTTCTTCCTGGAGGCTTGAGCAGGAGGCCTGTGCTGGGCAGCTGGGCATTAACCCCTGCTCACCACGGACCCTTGGAGAGAGAGGCCAGAGGGTCTTAGGGAGCAGTGCCGAGAGCCTTGGGGGACAGACAGGGGCAGAGCGGGCCTGGGTCTCTGTGCCAGAGGTGGCCAGGCCCCTTCCTTCTTTACTCCCCCTCTGCCCCCTCACAGTCCTGGGGTTTGGCCAAGCCCAGGTGGGGAGGCGAGGCCTGGGCTTCTATGACAGAAACACCCCTTTATTTGGCCCCCTGCTTCTCTTGAAGTGATCTTGAAGTCCCTCTGCTTCCCAGGGGCTCAGCTTTCCCATCTGGAAAGGGCTGTCTAACCCCTCACCCTGGCCTTCTAAGGAGCACAGGCAGCAATGGAGGGACAGTGGTAACATCCTGGACCCAACAGGGGTCCGGCTGTCACTTTTGTGTCATTGCCCTTCTGCTGGGGAGGGTCCCCCTCACTGACAGAAGAGGCCTCAATTCTATTAGCTATTTTGAAATGGGCACATTTCCATTAATTGGAAAGTTTTCCTCCTGCCACAGAGAAAACCATGGCTAATTTCTTGTCTGTCCTCCAAGGCAAAGACTGCATCTATGATCTATATCAAATAGGATATGAAATTATCTATAAAATTTCTAATTTTTTTCTACACAGATAGTAACATTGCTCTCTACACTGTTCTGTGCTTTTTTTCCACGAGCCGCATCCTGGGGCCGTTCTTCCTGTTGCTGTAGGCAGGGCTGTCTGAGAGTTGCTGACAGGCTGTCTCCTCAGCTCCCTTCCCCGCTCTCCTGTGGGCCACAGTTAATGCACGGCGCTGGGCCTGAGTAGAAGGGACAGTGAGGTTAGAGGGCAGAGACCTTGAACCAGAATTACAGAGGAGTCAGGTGGCCCAAGTGATGGGGACCATGCACATCACATAGGAGTTTGCCTGTAGGGGTATCATCTCAGCTTGGACCTGAAGGAATTAGCTGGGGTTGGGGGGCGGCGGTGGTGGGCAGGGGATGGGGTTTGGTGCTTTTAGCTGAAGGTTTAACATGGAGGGAGCGTCCTGGGCGTGGGGTGCTGCTGGTGAGGGCCAGGGCTCTGGTGTCTTGCGTCCTGTAGCCATGGGACATTGCCTGAGGGTTTTCAGCAGCGGGATGACACAGTCACATTTTTAAAAGCTGCTCTGGCTCAGAGTAGAGGGTAGATTGTGAGGGGTGGGGGTGGTGTGGAAGCTGGGAACCCAGGGGGGAGGCGCCTGCAGCGGTGCAGCGGTCTGTTGGGAGCCCATGGTGGCCAGGGCTAGGGGGTGGCCATGCCATTGGAGAGAGAGATGGGCTGGTATGAAGGAGAGGGAGGTGATGAAGGGCCTCCCAGGTCCTTCCCCGAGTGAAGGACGGTGGCGCTCTGTTGGCCGTGTTGGGCTGGCTGACGGAGCAGGGTTGGAGGGGAGGGTGAGGTCCAGTCCGGGCAGGGGTGTGGATGGAAGGGGGGATGTCCAGGAGGAGGTGGGGGTTGGGGCCTGCTGCTCTGGAGGGCCCTCTGGGCTGAGCAGCGAGGGCCCTGAAGCCGTGCAGGGGAGAAGAGGGTTCAAGCCCCGCCAAAGGAAGGCTTCTTGTAGTGCATCTGCACGTCCTCTCTGACACTGGCTGGCCCTGCACTTGGTCACTGAGCCTCTCCCAGGGCCACCTCTGCCTGGCTCTGGCTGCCCCTGTTGACTGGCTCATTAGATCTGTGTTGGTGTCTCTACCTCTAGCCTCGGGGGGCGGCCATTCATCCTCCCACAGCAGCCAAGATGACCTTCCTCCAACATCCCTTCCAAATGCCATGCCCTTTCACGCCTCTGTGCCTGATTCCCACTGACCAGCCCTCACTCCCCCTCTCCCTACACCCCCACCTTCCCCACCAGAGGGATCTGTGGCTTCCCACAGGCCCTAGCTTTCCCTTCCTGGCCCCCAGGGTGTTGTCAGCCCTCCCCCCTGGCCCCGCCACGTGTCTCAGTGAGGGGTCCTTGAATGCCTGCATGGAGCCAGCCTCCTGCCACATGGCCATTACAGACCAGCTGGTTTGGTGTCAGGTTATTTAAAAAAATTTTTTTTAATGTTTATTTTTAAGAGTGAGAGAGACCGAGCATGAGCAGGGCAGGGGCAGACAGAGAAGGAGACACAGAATCTGAAGCAGGCTCCAGGCTCTGAGCAGTCAGCCCAGAGCCTGATGTGGGGCTTGAACTCACAAACCATGAGATCATGACCCGAGCCAAAGGCAGATGCTTAACCAACTGAGCCACCCAGCCGTCTCCCTCAGTGCCACGTTATGAAGGAAGTGTCAAGAAGAAGGTGGCACTTAAGGACAGCTACTCCGTAAGCAGGCACACATCACGGGATATGTATGCCCTTCAGTTGCTCCATAGCCCTGGGAGGTAGGTGTTAACCACCCCCTTTTTACAGATGAGCAAACTGAGGTGTAGAGAAGCAAAGCGATGTGCCGAAGAGATGTTCTCTGTGGCTGACTCCCCTGCCTAGGGACAGGCGGTCAGCTGGCTCCCATAGCCAGGCAGGGCCGAGCTATAGGTGATGGGGCTGAGGTGCCCTGAGGTTGGAGGTTCGTGGGTTCTGATGTGAGAAGTTAGCCCAGCCCTGGGCTATGTGGGGTGTTATTGGGGGAGAATGCCCTCATTTCCCGGTTCCCCGCTGACCAGCTGCCTTGTCTCCCGTTCCCCGCTTTCCAACCTCAGACCAACTGTGGAGGGCGGGTGAGTGTGGCACAGAGCTGGCTCTGGCTCTCCCTACGTGCTTGGCCTGGCCAGTCCCCCTAGCCTGCGTCCCCACCCCTCCTTGTCCTGCCTGCTCGGACTCTTGCACACAGTGCAGGGGAGGGTGGGGGGTTGGCACGGCAAGGCTCCGCTGCTCCTGGCGTGGTCTGCATGGAGGCAGAGCCCACTGGCAGGGAGCATCCCCCAGGGCCCAGAGAAGGGCGCTAAGTGACCAGTTCTCCTGGCCCGGAGCGGGCAGAGGCGGGGCCGGGACCCAGGGCTGGGCTGCCCCCTGCTTCGCATGGCCACACCGGCCCTGGTTTGGGCACTTCCCCTGGACTGTGGTGCTGGCAGCAGCTCCTGCCCCGCATGGCTACCTTGGGCTGTGGCTGCGGGATGACGCACTACACCCTTGGCGGGAGGTATCCGACTACACTGTCACTTCCTCTTGGTGGTCTCCTCTTTCTTTGGTCTCTCCAGGCCCAGGTGTCAGTATTTCCATCACCGATCGTAGGCTGAGCCTGACCCTGACCTTTTCAAGCTGGGTGGGGAGGGGCAGGTGGAAGGTGCAGTAACCCCTGGTGGCAGGAGGCCCAGGTCATGTTGTCACCTGTGTGGCAGGGCCCCGGGCTCACAGCAGGAAATCTTGTGCACGGGTGGCCAGTTTGTGCACCGACAGAGGAGCCCGAGGAGAGGAAGACCCCCGGGAGTTTGTCTGAGGTGCACCAGGCCCTGCGCCCGTGCTGGCCAGGGTGGCTGGGTGTCCTGTCCCCCAGAACACAGGGGCCCCTCTGACCCGGGGCAGTGCTGCAGAGACAGGGGCCTATCCAGCCCCTGAACCACACCCCCAGGCCCTTCAGCGTGTTAGGGTTTGGCTCCACTCCCCCCGGACCAGCCTAGCCTCTGCTCTGGAACGGTCTGGTTTATGAACGTTACTCCAAACCTTCGGGATACAGAGCTTGGAGGCAGGAGTGGGGACCAGCATTTGAGTAATGCCTACAGTGTGCTGTGACGTTTAAAGTACACCCCCTGCTAGTCTTTGTAAACAGTTCCACTATGCCCATTTTACAGATAAAGATCAGGCAAATGGAGGCTTAGGGACCCTCCCTTTCTCCCCCCTTCTTTCCTCCCTTCATCACACCTCGCTGAGCACCTACTCCAGCCTAGACCCAACGCTTGTTTGACGGCCCCACTCTCAGCTCCCAGAGAGGCTGGATTCTGACCCCAGGTCCGTGTGACTCCAAAGTCAGTGCAGTCCGTTCCAGAGGAATGGAGCAGGGCAGAGCCTGAGAACTTTGTAGAGGCAGAGCCTCCCACACAGGGAATTGGCAAGTTCTCTGTCCCATTTTGCCCACAGACGTACACAGGCTCCATTCTGGTGGCTGTGAACCCCTACCAGCTGCTGTCCATCTACTCACCAGAGCACATCCGCCAGTACACCAACAAGAAGATTGGGGAGATGCCCCCCCACATCTTTGCCATCGCCGACAATTGCTACTTCAACATGAAACGCAACAGCCGTGACCAGTGCTGTATCATCAGGTGGGCAGTCCAGCACCAGACTGGAGCTCCAGCTTTGTGTGCTCCTGTTAATGCCTCATAATATAGAGAATCACCTCCCCTTTCTCAGGCCTTATATTTCTATTAATGCTGCCAAAGTTCTTGTTAGCATTTGAGGCCGCCCTTGTTTATTACTGGCTCCTGTTAAGTTATTTTCAATGTGCAATTTCAGGCTCCTATTCTCTCTTGGGCAGAGGGTAATAGGACAAAGCATTGGTCCAGCATCAATATATGCCATGCTCTATGGCAGGTATGGACGGAGGGGTGTCTGTGTCTAAATGAAGGGGAAGGAAAGTAGCTTTGACTACTGAGAGCGCTGAGCTCCTGTAGCCTTTCCCTATCCCTGAAAGGTCCACATTGCCAGCCTACTTTACAGATCGGGCAGGGGAAGCAGCCTGGGGCCGAGGGCCCGTAGGAGAGGGCCAGCGCGGGCTGTGACGGGTCTGCCCCTCCCTGGGTCTCCCCTGCAGCGGGGAGTCTGGGGCAGGGAAGACGGAGAGCACGAAGCTGATCCTGCAGTTTCTGGCGGCCATCAGCGGGCAGCACTCGTGGATTGAGCAGCAGGTGCTGGAAGCCACCCCCATCCTGGAAGGTAGGGCCAGGGCTCCCAGAGTGGGCCTGGGTGGCTGGGTGGGTGCTGACCTCGCCTGTGACCCTCTCCCCGCCCCGAAGCATTTGGGAACGCCAAGACCATCCGCAACGACAACTCAAGCCGCTTTGGGAAATACATCGATATCCACTTCAACAAGCGAGGGGCCATCGAGGGCGCCAAGATCGAGCAGTACCTGCTGGAGAAGTCACGTGTCTGCCGCCAGGTGGGCCCGAACCCGGGGGGCAGAGCTGACCTGCACGACCCCGGGCCTCAGGGGTGGGTGGGGGTACTATGCGGCTGCCTGCTTGCCTTAGGGCCTGAATTCCCACCATGAAACCTACCCATGGGGGCTTTTTGGTGAAAGTCACTCGTTAAAATAGTAAACCATGTTCTTGTCTTGATCGTCTGGTTTCTGAGGCCGCCTCCTGCCCCCCAACACCTGGTACCCTGTTTTCAGGCTCCCGATGAAAGAAATTACCACGTGTTCTACTGCATGCTAGAGGGTATGAGTGCGGATCAGAAGAAGAAGCTGGGCCTGGGCCAGGCCTCGGACTATAACTACTTGGCCATGGTGAGGTTTATGGGGGGCTCCAGGGAGGGAGACCCCTGGCCCAGCAAGCTCGGGGCAGCCCATTTGGCCCCTCCCCAGCTCCAGGCCTGGCGGGCGGAGGGCGGGATCCTCTGCGGGGCCTTTCCCCTTGTCCCCTGACCTGCCCCTGGGCTTGTATATGCTGCAAGGCCTGCCCTGCACTTGGGCAGTTTCCCAGCTGCACGTGCATCTAGATGAACTATCATCACAGGTCTACACATTCCTAAATATGCATGGATCTCCTGGGCCCAGGGACGCATAGACACACACAGGCCTGCATGTACACGTGCACAGACCTGCCTGCACACGCGTGCTGTGTTAGTTCTGTCTTTGGGGACGTGAAGACCGGGACCTCTGCTGGGACCCCGGATTGTAGGGCACAGGCTGTTCAGCCTCAAGGGCTCACGGGTCACAGAGCCCCGGTGCCAGCCTCTTGCTGCTGTCGGGCCACCAAGGAGAAGTGGGCCCCAGGGCCATGGCCGTCCCCCGGCGTCGGTTGGGGTTGTGTGTGTGTGTGTACACAGCAGGCTTGGGGGGTAGCAGCTTCCTTAGCCCTGGGAGAACCCGTGGCTGGGCTGGGCCAGGCCACGTGGACGCAAATGAGGGACGTGGGACGACAAAGGAGTGTGCGTGCTGTAGGTGTGACAGGTCTCCCAGACACTTGCTGTAGCTGGATGGGAAACCACACGGACACACACACACGCCTCCTGGGCACACACCACGGGGCAGAGTCCTGTAGGTGCCCAGCAATCTGCAGTGACCTCCTCCTTCTCCCGCACCAGGCTGCTCCTGGTGAGGGATCAAGGTCCCCAGGGTGAGTGTCCGCTGTGGGGGCGGGGCGGGGGAGAGCATGGTAGGGCCTTGGTGCTGTGACAGCCGCTGGGCAAGGGGATGGGACAGTCCTCTCACTCTTGGGAAGAAGGGGCATCCACGGTCCCTAGAATTGGGAGGCATGTTCTGAAAAAGCCCTAGTTGGGCGCTTTCTAGACTTCCTGGAGGGATCATGGTGCTCATGAAGCGAGGTGGCTGCCTGGCACCCCACACTGGCTTGGCCTGACAGAGGGGGCCCTCCATCCTAGGCACTGCCTCTCGGGGGGGCCCTGTGGCCTTGCCGATGCCCTCCCATACCCCCCCCCCCCGCCCCGACCAGGGTAACTGCATAACATGCGAGGGCCGGGAGGACAGCCAGGAGTACGCCAACATCCGCTCGGCCATGAAGGTGCTCATGTTCACGGACACGGAGAACTGGGAGATCTCGAAGCTCCTGGCGGCCATCCTGCACCTGGGCAACCTGCAGTATGAGGGTGAGGGGCCCGATGGTGCACCCCCACCCCACCCCCGCACCAGGCCCAAGGGCAGCTCCACACCTAGCCGTCTGTGGGGGATTGTGGCTCAGTGTCTGTCCCAGCAGGTGCTCACCCTGTTTCTTAGCAGCCAGGGCTGCTGCTGCGTGCTCTGGGCATCTGGGGAGGGGGCACGACTGCCAGTGTCTCTGCTTGGGTGCCAGGCATGGTGCCCAGTGCTGGGCATACGCAGTTCCCACCCTCAGGGTGCCCGTAGCTCAAGGTGAGGACATTCATCGAACATACACTGACCCAGAGAAGCACTTAATCACAGTGCTGACGGCCTCTGCGGACAGGGTGGGCTCCTGAGAGCCTGGCCCTCCTAGCCCGCCCTGTCCCCCACACCCGCCCTGTCCCCCACGCCCGCCCTCCCTCCTTCGCCTGACTCACGCCCCCTTGCTGCCGACAGCCCGCACGTTCGAAAACCTGGACGCCTGCGAGGTCCTCTTCTCCCCATCCCTGGCTGCAGCCGCGACCCTGCTGGAGGTCAGTGTCTGGTCTTCTGTCCCCAGGGCTGCTTCTCTTTCTCTCAGTGGGGCAGTTTTGACTCAGGCTCAGGGGGCTGGGGATGTGGGAACCTGGAAGCTGGGGCCGTCTGCCTTGGAGGGTTTGGAAGTTCAGTACGGAGCACCTGTGTGTGTAGGTAGGGTCCGTGCTGGGCAAGGCGCTCAGGGGGAGGTGGGCCCCAGCGCCCGGGAACCTCGCTGCCTGGCCCCACTGCCCCTGGGGATGGGGCAGGGCACGGGGGCTTGGGCTGAGTCAGTCTGTTGGTGTCTTAGCAGAGGCTTACGGGCTCTGCCCTGGGTTGGGAAACTGGGAGGGATAAAGCCAGGGTCTGAGCCCGTCCTGAGAGGGCCAGGTAACGTGCGGAGGGTCGCCAGGGGGCTGGCAAGGAGAGAGCAGACATTCCAGGCGGTGTCCGGGTGGGATTTGATGGTTGGGGCGGATCTGGCTGTGGGGAAGGCCTTCTAGTGGAGGGGATGGATTGAGCAAGGCCTGGCTGGACAAGAGTGGGGAGTTCTCTGGTGTGGGGGGAGGCAGGCATGGGCTGCAGGTGGCTGGGCGAACGCCCGCATGTTGCCCCGCCAGGTGAACCCTCCAGACCTGATGAACTGCCTGACCAGCCGCACCCTCATCACCCGCGGGGAGACGGTGTCCACCCCGCTCAGCAGGGAGCAGGCGCTGGACGTGCGCGACGCCTTCGTCAAGGTGGGCCCTTTGTGGGATGGCACCGGCCTGCGCCGCCCCTCAGGGAGTTAGGTTGTTGATACGGGCAGGAGTTGAGTAGTCCAGGGAGCCAGAAGGACATCTGGGCCTCGACCCCCACCTGCTCTTGGGTCTGGGTTCTGCCCACTGGCTCTGTGGGGGGCCTGAGCAAGAGTCTGCCTTCTGAGCTCTGCTCATCCTACACGGGGTTGACTACTGTGCTCCTTGGGAGTCCTCCCAGTTCTGGTCTCCTCTAGTCCTCCACCCCTGGCCTGCTCTGCTCACCAGCCCCATGGGCCTCAGACTGGGTCATATTCTTTGGGCACTAGGTCTGCTGTGCTATTCCCAGCTCAGAGGATAGCCTCTCTGGTGTTCCAAAGAAGACACTGAAGATGGACTGGGTCGGGTGGAGAGGGCCCCCATCCTTCCCGTTTCCACAGTACCGATTGGCAGCCAGTGGGCCCCCGTCTTGCACCAGGTTCTGTGCTGTTAGGGAAACAGACATGGATGGAGAGGTAGGAGCCCCAAGAAGGGCTTCTTCCCAAACTTCAAGGTTAGGGAGGGCTTGGCAGAGCTTTGAGAAGGAGTAGGAATGTTCTAGCAGGAAAGGGTGATCCAGGGCAGAGGGAACAGCTTGAGTAAAGGCGAGGGGAGTTCAAATAGCATGGGAGGGGCTGAGCAAGGCCATGGCAGCCTGAGAGCCTGGTCAGGCCCGTCCTGAGGGTGAGGGGGGCGGCGTGCTGGGCACAGCGGCTGACCCAGCCCCTCTCAGGGCATCTACGGGCGGCTCTTCGTGTGGATAGTGGACAAGATCAATGCAGCAATTTACAAGCCCCCCTCCCAGGAAGTGAAGAGCTCTCGCCGCTCCATCGGCCTCCTGGACATCTTTGGGTTCGAGAACTTTGCTGTGAACAGGTACCATGAGGGGCTCTGCTCTGTGGAGATTTTCTTCCACAGCACGGACATAGCAGTGTCCCATCTCGGTCTTTAATTTTTTTTTAATGTTTTTAATTTATTTCTGAGAGAGAGAGAGAGAGAGACAGCATGAGCAGGGGAGGGTCAGAGAGAGAGGGAGACACTGAATCTGAAACAGGCTCCAGGCTCTGAGCTGTCAGCACAGAGCCTGACATGGAACTCAAACCCACAAACTGTGAGATCATGACCTGAGCCGAAGCTGGACGCTTAACCGACTGAGCCACCCAGGCGCCCCCATCTCGGTCTTTAAACCTCAGGAGGCTGCTTCCTGAATCTCATCAGCCCACCTTCCCACCTCCCCTGATAGCTTGGGATCCCTCTTCCCACCCCCACCCCCCACCCACCCCCAGTGCTTTGACTCTCCCCCTCCCACTTCCCCTCCTACTTCCCCTTCTAAGGATTTGGTGCCCATCTGATAGCTCTCTCTTCTGACTCAGTGTCCCCTTCTCCACCTCCGGGTTGGGGAGGACTTGACAATGGCGCCTACCTCAGAGGCTGGAGAGCCCGTGATGGGAACACAGCGCGGCCAAAGGTGTGCTGTACACGGGGCCCAGGCCGGGCCAGCCCCTCACCTGCGCCCCCTGCGCCCTGCAGCTTCGAGCAGCTCTGCATCAACTTCGCCAATGAGCACCTGCAGCAGTTCTTTGTGCGCCACGTGTTCAAGCTGGAGCAGGAGGAGTACGACCTGGAGAGCATCGACTGGCTGCACATCGAGTTCACCGACAACCAGGACGCACTGGACATGATCGCCAATAAGCCCATGAACATCATCTCCCTTATCGACGAGGAGAGCAAGTTCCCCAAGGTGGGCCTGCCCCTGGTGGGGCCTGGGCAAAACATCCCCTCACACTCCCAGCCTCCACTTTCCTCATCTGTGAAATGGGACTGCCTCTCAGGGTGCCTCTGAGGCCGATGCAGGTGCATTCGCCTGACATCTGGGGATCACCTATGGTCCACAGGGTCCTGGACCAAACAATGAAGATCTAAGCATACAGCTGGCACAGAATAGGTGCTCCACACATGGAATGTGTCTCGGGGTGGGGGGCAAGGTTGGGGACTGCTCCCATGATTTTCATTGTGGGCAATCGATATTCTAAACTGGACTATAGTTCCAATCCACCCACTTAGCAGATGGGGAAATGGAGGCCCAGAGAGTTCCTATGTGGGGTATCAATAAAGGGAGGGCACTCCTGGGAAAGACAGAAGAGGGGGTGCAAAGGCCAAAGGACCAGGGAGCGGGTGGGGCGGGGGCAGGTGGGCTGACCACAGCCCTCGACCCCCCAGGGCACAGACACCACCATGTTGCATAAATTGAACTCCCAGCACAAGTTGAACTCGAACTACATACCCCCCAAGAACAACCATGAGACGCAATTTGGGATCAACCACTTTGCAGGCATCGTCTACTATGAGAGCCAAGGTACCAGTGGGCAGTCTGGGGCTGGGATCTCCTCTCCTGTGCCCTGTCTGACCCCCTTCTCCAGCCCAGGAGCGGGGGTGGGGGCTGGAATGCAGAGAGGGCGCTGGGCCCAGTGCTCTTTCTTGTAGAGATTTTAATAAATTGTGGCCAAGTGTATGACATGTACCATTTTAACAGTTTTCAAGGCTACGATTCAGCGGCATCAAGTACATTCCTGATACTGTGTGACCATCACCACTATCCATTTCCAGAGCCTGTTGATCACCCCAAATAAGTACTGATAAAACAATAACTCCCCCTTCTCCCCCAGCCCCTGGTAACCTCTGTTCTGTTTCTACCTCAATGTGTCTGACTCTGACCTCCTATAAATGAAATTGTACAGTTTTTGACCTTTTGTGTCTGGCTTATTTCACTCAGCATAATGTCTTCAAGGTTCATCCATGTTGTAGCAAGTGTCAGGATTTCCTTCCTTTTTATGGCTGAATAATATTTCATTATATGTGAATATATGTGTGTGTATACATGTGTGTATATATATACACATGTAATTCATTCATCTCTTGATGCACATTTGGGTTGTGGCCACCTTCTGGCCATCGTGACTAGTGCTGCCATCAACATGGGTGTGCAAGTATCTGTTTGAATCCGTGCTTTCAGTTCTTTCAGGTGGGCTTAGTGCTCTTTTGTACAGATGGGAAAGCTGAGGCTCAGAAGGGAAAGTTAACTGCCTTCCCTGACATTGTCCATTAGGTGCAACGCTGGGCCTAGAACAGCCCTGTCACCCACCCGAACTCTCAGCAACACGACTTTGAAGGGGATGCGGCCTCCTTGCTGCTGGGACATTCAGTTGGGTTCATTTTAAAGCTAGTGGTGAAGAAGAGTCAGAACACGTCAGGTTCATCCCACTTGGAATTCTTGCACGCTGCCCTGGCGGCCCCACCCCCGCCGCCCTGGTCTGGAGGGCCGGCCTTGGATGGGCACCAGGGGTGGTCTGTGCCTCAAAGGGTCCCATGTGTGGTCTCAGGCCAGCGAAATTCAAAACAAGCAAGCAAAGAGCTATTGGTTTCACACTTCCTTGTTTTTTTATTTAAAAAACTTTAAAAAATTGTTTTAATTTTAGAGAGAGTGAGCATGTGTGAGAGAGCAGAGGAGGGGCAAAGGGAGAGGGAGAGAGAAACCCAAGCAGGCTCTACACTCAGCACAGAGCCTGACGCAGGGCCCAATATCATGACCTGAGCTGAAACCAGGTTCCAGACGCTCAATGAACTGAGCCACCCAGGTGCCCCCCTGTATTTGGACAAGTATATGAGGGAGGTGGCCTGATGGGATGAAGTGTGAAGGCTACCCAGCCCTCCTTCAGCGTTTGGACTGTGAGATCCAACCTTGCTGTTAAAAAGAAGGAAGCCAACCTTCAGCCTGAAGGACGTTTGGGAAAATGAATGTGTCTGTTGTTAGGAGTAATAGAGAATTGTGTGTAGTTTTTTTAATGTTTATTTTTGAGAGAGAGAGAGGCCAAGCGCAAGCTGGGGAAGGGCAGCAACAAAGGGAGACAGAATTCGTAGCAGGCTCCAGGCTCTGAGCTGTCAGCATAGAGCCTGATGTGGGGCTCGAACTCATGAACCATGAGGTCATGACCTGAGCTGAAGTTGGACACTTAACCAATTGAGCTATCCGGGTGCCCCAAGGATTGTTGTTTTTCAGTTCAGTTCAACCAACATTCACTGAGACTTATTCTGCGTCAGGCTTCATGCTTCTGCTGAGAATAAGGATGTGAATTTTGAGTAGAGTCTTCACAAAGTTATAAAGTTATAGAATGTTAGATCTGGAGGGAACATAAGGGTTACCTACCTTACGGATTTGAAAACTGAGGTATAGAGAGGGAAAGGACTTGCCTAAAGTCACTAACCAGTTTTGAGCTGCTTTAAACAATTCTGCCAGTGTCTCCTGGCTCACAAAGCACTGTTTTAATCTAGCATTTCATTTATGAAACAGCTGGTGGTAGGTGATTTGAAGCAAAGCAAGAGCTGATGGGTACCATTGTTCCCTCTGACAAATGAGGCTGAGGGGACCATGGGGGGAGGGGGACCATCCTAGGGTCCTGGAGGGAGTCTTGGACTTTCAATTAGAGCCTGCAGTTCCATCCCAACTCCAAAACCCACCTTTCTGCTGCTGAGTGCCTCCTGCGACACCCTGTCCCCAGACACGAGGTGGGCCACCCTGTGCTGTCCACAAACCAGGGCGGCCTGAGTCCTACGGGGAAAGGGTGCTGCCCCTCTTCCGTGTTCTTCCTCGTCAGGCAGGCATCTGCAGCAGCCCTCAGTCACTCCGTCTTCCGCTCCGCCCTAGGAAGCCGCCCCCCCCCCCTTAACCAGTTCCTAACGCCTCAGTCCTGGGACTAGACGCTCTCTTGGGGGTCTGTATGGTATAGAGGAGCCTCCCTGGGCTGAGGCCGGGAGTCCTCGGTTCAAGCCTTAACTCCGCTCCTGGCTTGCTGTGATGTTGGGCAGGGGCCCCTGCGCACTCCAGGCTTTGGTGTTGCCCACTGGAAACGGATGTGGTTGAATAAGTGGCGTTTGAGGGTCTTCCTGGCCCAGACAGCGTGGGTTTGGGGAGGGGCTGAGCCTTGTCAGGCAGGCGGAGGCTGCCAGGGCGCTCGAGGCATGACTGCTTGTCGCCCCTGCCCAGGCTTCCTGGAGAAGAACCGGGACACCCTGCACGGAGACATCATCCAGCTGGTCCACTCCTCCAGAAACAAGTTCATCAAGCAGATCTTCCAGGCCGATGTCGCCATGGTAACGTCGGGGCGGGGCCTCTGTTGGGCAGGAAGGGCCCCGGGAAGCTAGGCCTGAGCCTTGGCCACCCTTGTGCCAGTTTCCCCTGCGTACCTGTGGCTGCAGAGAGGGGACAGGGCTCTGCCGTGGCTCCGGGAGACACCCGGGGGCCTCCACTGTCCTCCTGTCTGGTGCTCCTGCTGTCCCAGCTCGGGGGAGGGCACGAGGCCTGGGGAAGGGTGACAGGTCACAGAGCAGACAGAGCCTGATCAGGACACGGTTTACCGTGGAGGTGCCCCAAACTGGACGCCCGGCAGTTCACAGGGAGCCTGGGAGGGGGGAGCACCCCTAGCCTCCAGGACACGGATGGGTGCGGGTATTCAGAGGAACAAAGACCAAGGGTGTGTGAGCCCCGGCGCGGGGGCCCCTTGCAGGGGTGCAGAATTTTCCACCCTCCGCATTTCCTTTGTCCCTAGAGTGCTGTTTCCTGCAGGATCGTATGCCTTTTTATTTCACGTTTTCTTCCTGTCCCATGGCTTCCTGAAGGGCACACAGAGGGACTCACAGGGAGGGCAGGGCCTCTGCCCCCTCGGTGCCCGTGCAGGCGCCTGCACGGCCCCGGCTCCAGGGGCCCAGACCTCTGCCTCGAGGAGCCTCCTTTCTCGTTGGTGGGTTTTGCTCTGTGTGCTGACCCACCGCGTTCTCCTTGCCCCCTGCCCCCTCTCGCCCTGCTCTGTGGTTGCTGTTATAGTTTCTCTGTGGTTATTCATCGGGCACTCTGCGCCAGTCGGCAGCTTCTCTGAAGGTAAAAGACCCGTGTCCGGGACCACTGGATGGCGGGAAAGGCCTCAGCGGCCCCTGGGGCTGGGCTGTGTCCTCCGCCCCCGTGGCACTGAGGCTTGGGGAAAGGGCCGGCTTCTTCTTCTTCTT